TTATTTTGATGGTGATGGTGATCAGTGTGCTTATTTATTAAACTTCACAATATTTTTTTTTCTAATAAATATCAAATAATAACCTGTGAAATATGTAATTGCCGCATACATGAGAAGACAAAATTTTTGGATAAAACATTGGTACCTAATGAAGCCAACTCAGTTCAAAAACTCAATTATGTAAGACTTTACATTCACTAGAATGCTTTTGGAAGATTATGAAAGAAAACCCTACAATTATCCAAGATTTCAAATACACTAGAATGCTTAACCAATGTCAATTTCAACTAAAAAATATTATAATTTACACTAACAGATGACAAATGAAAGAATTAAAAATTCTTAAATTTATGTGTGACATTAGTTATTCAGTACTATGTGAATACCTTATTTTGATGGTGAAGGTGATCAATGTGCCTATTTATTATACTTCACAATATTTTTTTTCTCATAAATATCAAATAATAACCCATGAAATGTGTAATTGCCGCATACATGAGAAAATAAAATATTTGGATAACATATTGGTATCTAATGAAGCCAATTTAGTGCAAAAAATCAATAATGGAAGATTTTAGATTCACTAGAATGCTTATTGAAGATTATAGTAGAAAACCCTATAATTATCCAAGATTTCAGATACACTAGAATGCTTAACCATTTCCAATTTCAACTAAAAAATATCATAATTTACATTAACAGTTGATAAATAAAAGAATCATAAATTCTTATATTAATGTGTGACATAAGTTGGCCAGCACTGTGTGAATACCATATTTTGATGGTGAAGGTGATGAGTGTGCCAATTTATTAAACTTTGCAATGCTTTTTTTTTTTTTTTTTTTCTCATAAATATTAAATAATAACTTGTGAAATGTGTAATTGCCGCATACATTTAATACCAAAATTTTTGGATAACACATTGATAACTAATAAAGCCAACTCAGCTCAAAAAATTAATTATGAAAGATTTTACATTCACTAGATTGCTTATTGAAGATTATTGAAGAAACCCTACAATTATCCAAGATTCTATATACACTAGAATGGTTAACCAATGTCAATTTCAACTAATAAATATTATAATTTACACTAACAGATGACAAGAAAGAACTAAAAAATCTTAAATTTATGTGTGACATTAGTTATTCAGCACTGTGTGAATACTTTATTTTGATGGTGAAGGTAATCAGTGTGCATATTTATTAAATTTTACAATGTTTTTTTTTCTCATAAATATCAAACAATAACATGTGAAATGTGTAATTGCCGCATACATGAGAAGACAAAATTTTTGGATAATACATTGGTACCTAATGAATCCAACTCGGTTCAAAAAATCAATTATGAAAATTTTACATGCACTAGAATGCTTATTGAAGATTCTAGAAGAAAACCCTACAATTATCTAAGATTTCAGATACACTAGAATGCTTAACCAATGTCAATTTCAACTAAAAACTATCATAATTTGCACCAACAGATGACAAATGAAAGAATCATAAATTCTTACATTTTTGTGTAACATAAATTATTCAGCACTGTGTGAATACCTTCTTTCGATGGTGAACGTAATCAGTGTGCCAATTTATTAAACTTTGCAATGTTTTTTTCCTTCTAAATGTCAAATAATAACCTGTCAAATGTGTAATTGCCGCATACATTTAATACCAAATTTTTTTGATAACACATTGGTATGTAATGAAGCCAACTCAGTTCAAACAATCAATTATGGAAGATTTTAGATTCACTAGAATGCTTATTGAAGATTATAGAAGAAAACCCTACAATTATCCAATATTTCAGATTCACCGGAATGCTTAACCAATGTCATTTTCAACTAAAAAATATCATAATTTACACTAATAGATGACAAATTAAAGAATCATAAATTCTTACATTTATGTGTGACATAAGTTAGTCAGTACTGTGTGAATACCTTATTTTAATGGTGAAGGTGATCAGTGTGCTAATTTATTAAACTTTGCAATGTTTTTTTGTCAGAAATATCAAATAATTACCTCTGAAATATGTAATTGCCGCATACATTTAATTCCAAAATTTTTTGATAAAATATTGGTACCTAATGAAGCCAACTCAGTTCAAAAAATTAATTATGGAAGATTTTAGATTCATTACAATGATAGATGCAAATGAAAGAATCATAAATTCAGTTCTAAATCTATAATTTTCAGTTCAAAACAAAAATTTCACTGTAAATGAACAATACTGTTAAATGCAAAATATTAATAACATGTATTAAGACTTACCAACAATTAAGCATTAATTAGGTCAATTGTAGATACTAGCTCAGGTCCATTATAGATTTCTTTCTTGTAGATGAAGAAGAGAATCTTATTGAAGAAATCAGCAATTTCTGGAAGGAAATCACTGCAATCTGGGTTTTAATTCAAAAAAGGAAATAAAAAAGTAAAAATAAAGGAGGGAGGAATTAGGGTTTTGAATAAAAAGGGAATTCAAAAATAATATGTTTTTGTGGAATAAGGAGAGACGAATTAGGGTTTGGATTAAAGAAATTAAAAAGAAATAATGGAACAAAACGAAAAGGGGAAGGAGAGAAATAAGAAAACTAAAAAGGAAGAAAGGGAAAGGGAAAGGGAGAGTGAAGAAGCGGGGGCGCTGAATTCTGTGTTTTTCAACTTATTTCAACTTTCCTTTTTCGTATTTTCTTTTCTTTTTCTTTTTTTTTTTGTTTTTTTCTTTTTGGTTTATAGTTGGCACTTTAGCGTTAAGTTTACTGTGCCATTAGTTGACTTTTTTTGTTGTTTCAAACCAAACATGGCATTAAGCAGTGCATTGCAGGGGATCGCAAGGTTAGGGACAACAGGAGATTTGCGCCCGTACAAAAGTAACATGAACTCTGTCAAAGAACTCTATGGTTCACTTTAGAGAATAACTAAATGTATGATTCTTTAACGCTTGAAAAAATAGCCATGGCTCTTTCAATTATTTTTCTAAACTTCGAGTATTTTGTATATTGTCTAAAGTTAGCCCAAGCAACTAACCTTGGGATGGAACTCTTTAAATTAACATGTGACAGTGATTTTTAGGATGCTCTATTTTTTTGTTGTAGAATTTAACTTCAAAAAACAACATAGATAATATGTTGAATTGAATTATATTTATGTGTAACACTAGTTAGTCAGCACTATGTGAATATCTTGATATGAGGGTGAAGGTGATGAATGAGAAAATGACTACTAATATCAAATTTTGCCAAGTTTTTTTCGATAACATAATAGTAAGAAGGTGGTGAGTGAGCAAATGACAATTAATACCAAACTTTACTAAGTTGTTTTCAATAACGCAATGGTATGAAAGTAACGGATCACTATCAAAGAACTACATGGTTCACTTTTATAGAATAACTAAATATATGCATTTTTAATACTTGAAAAAAAAAAAAAAAAAAAAGGAAAAAGTTGCTACCCTTTTCATTATTTTGGAAAACATCAAATATTTTGTTTATTGTCTAAATTTAGCCCAAGCGACTAACCTTGGGATGAAACTCTTTAAATTAACATGTGAAGGTAATTTTTAGGATCCTCTATATTTTTGTAGTAAAATTTAACTTCAAATAACAACATAAATAATATATTAAATTGAGTTACATTTATGTGTGACATTAGTTATTCGGCACTATGTGAATATCTTGTTTTAAGGGTGAAGGTGGTGAGTGAGCAAATGGCAATTAATAAAAAACTTTGTCAAGTTTTTTTCGATACCACAATGGTTTTAATGTAACAAGTTTCTAATCCAAATTATTTTCATTTGTACTAAATAAATTTTATCCTTTCCTATAAGAATCACCGTGATGAATTATCAATCTCGACAACAGTTGTTCTAAATGGAGAATACGAAATAATTTTGAAAACTTTCACCCGTATCATAGTACTTTTGCACAATTTTTAGTATGTTACTTCACAATTCATTATATTTTGTGTTCTTATTATGCATCTTTAAGGATATCTTATAATTTTATTCCAATAGTTTTCGCATGACGAATCTCCATCATAAATTATATTTACCCTTACCTACATGGATTAAAGAGATGAATCATCGATCTCGACAATTCTAAATGAACAATAGCAAATACTTTTACAAAATTTCACCCGAATTTTAGCACTTTAGCACAGGTTTCAATATGTTACTTCACAAATTTTAATATTTGTATTCTTATGCACATGTAAGGATTTTTGAATAGTTTTATTGAAATGATTCTTATATAACAAGTTTCCAATACAAATTATTTACATTTGTACTAAAAAAATTTAATCCTTTCCCAAAAGAATCATCGCGATGAATTATCGATCTTGACAACGGCTGTTCTAATTGAAGAATATGAACTGCTTTTACAAACTTTCGCTTCTATTATAGTATTTTTGCACAAATTTTAATATGTTACTTCACACATGTAATAGACAACAAACAAAATACTCGACGTTTTTCAAGATAATGAAAAGAGCGAAGGCCTTTTTGTTATTCCAAGTACTAAAAAAAATCATACATTTAGTTAGAGACAAGTGAACCATGAAGTTTTTCAAAAAAGTTCATGTTACTTTCGTACTATTATATTATCGAAAAAAACTTGATAATTTGCTCACTCAACACAATACCGACTAACTAATGTCACACATAAATTTAACTCAATTCAACATATTATTTATCCTAAATATCAATATCACGTGTTAACAATAAGGGAGTGAAAGAACATAGAAAATCTTGTAATGTATTCAATCTTTGAATGTGACACCTTCCTTGTTGATTTCATATAATACATATTTTTGCTTCTTGGTGCAAGAGTTTTCATAGAATGAAATATTGCTATAATACAATGAGTCACAATTTTTAACTCAAAATATTGATTTTCATAAAATGTATATTTTTTTTTTTAACCTCAAAACCATGATTTTCGTAAAGTCATTATCCTCCACTTCAAACCCATGATTTTATTTTCAAGGTTAGTTGTTTGGGCTAACTTTGGACAATATACAAAATTCTACCTTTTTTTTTCCCCTTGAATCTGGTGGGTTTTATTGATACAAAAAAAATAGACCAGAAAACAGAGCTAAGAAAAATTTTACAAAACATAAACTACCAATATTTTTAAAAAACTAACCAAAAGGATAAATACAACAGAATTAAGAAATTCAAAGCAACTTCATATCCTCAAGCCCCATACAGAGTAGTGCTTCCAAATATGCATCAGTAGCTAGCAGACCTTGTTTGATCCTCATGTAATCTAAGATTTCTCTCCCTTCAGATATTCCAAATAATCACAGTACCATCTTATGAACACCATGCAAAGCCGCCTCAAGTTTTGCCAAACAATATGCCTAGAAAAAAGTTCGCCAACGCAAGTTGACACAATAAAGAAAGTGGAGAGGAAAAAAATTACTTTCATTTACTAAAAACTAACAATGTAAATAAAAATTATTAGCTTAATCTTATACTAATGAACACTTGGACCACCTGCAAACACATATATCTATATCAATACATCTCTTTAGATATTCGATATCCTCATTCCAAACATTCAATTACAATCCTAATAATCATTTACTCTAGACCCAAAATTAAAAATAGAAAACTAAAAAACTAGACACATTTTAAGCTCATGTCTGCCATATACAAACAATTGGACGACCTTTAAATGAGAAGGATGCCTAATTTATAGAATAAATTATCTGAGGTCAAGTCGTTATAAATAATAAATTGAACGATAAACAAGTGGAGGTACTCAATACAATATTCTTAAATTTTAATTTAAAAATAAGATCATAAATGAGATAGGGGATGTCATCCACACAATTAAATAAACTTTATAACTTCCACAAAGAAATTAAAATTATATACAAGAACAATGAAAAAAAATAGTATTTTTCGCTCAATCTTATAGAACAACTCACTTAAACCACCTATAAACGAATTTACCCACATCCTTAGCCTTAAATTTTCAAAATCATTAATGTATACAATATCATTCATGTTAGAATATACTGTAATAGATTGTGCAAAAACTACAAATATTATTTTATGTTAAGTCTGACACCAAATAACAATTGGAACACCTAAAAATAAATTTACAGCATACTATTTAGGAAAGCATTCACATAATTAAGCCCATAAATTCATTCACTCCAAGACATAAAAAGAAAGACTAAACCACTCCTTTTTAAATTGCAAAATGAAGGAATAGCATTGTGTGTAACTAGCATAGAAGCTACTAGTACTTTAGGTCAGCATCAATTCCACACCAAATTCAACTTTAGTACCCAAATCTCTGCACTAATTCCACACTGCCTTGAAATTGAAATTCCCATACTTCCATACCACAGAATCCTCCATCAAATGATCTCTGAATTTGGAAAGACATGCTAAAATCTCTACCGGCCGGGAGAGAAATTCCACTGACCATTTTACAATAAGTCTTCAATTATTCGATTTCTTTGTAAATCAGTACCTCTAAGCATTCAATACTACCCAAAGGTTTCCACAAAAGACCTTCCATGAAACCATGGATCATTAAAAATCCTAACATAATTAGGGAATATCAAAAATTACTCATGAAAATCTAGCCCAAAGCCCCAAACATGCATGAACAATAAATTGTTAAATTAGAAACTTTGAAGACAACAATTGAGGAAAAAACCATTATCACTCCATCCCAAACCTTACCGTACAACAATCCATGGTCCAAATAAAACTAAAATATGTAACGAATTCAAAGCCAAACAATAGTAAAAAAATAAAAAATAAAAAAGCAATCAAGCAAAACCCAATTTCAGTCATACAAAACCTATTCACACTTGCAAAATAATCAATCAAAAGAATTTTAAAATTCAAAATTGACAGGTCCACTATTGAAAACCACCGATAAAATCATTTCAATCATACAAAACCTATTCATACTTGCATAATAATCAATTAAAAGAATTTTAAAATTCAAATTGACAGGTCCACTATTGAAAACCAACGATAAAATCCCAACCCCAAATTTTTTTCAATACCACTTAGCTACCAGAGAAATAGAGATCAGATTGATGGTTACATCGTCACCAGAGAGCATATCTTTGGTGCTCAAACCCTACCGATATGCGAATCTTCCTCTCTTATTCTTAGTATTTGACTATGCACATACACAATCTTTCTCGCACTACACCCTACCTTGGCCACCGATATCGGAGACTTCATCTCTTTAAACAAGAGATGGAGCAACAAATGTATGGATGTGTGTGTATATATATAGCTAGCTAAGAAAACATAGAGAGGTTGGGTTTCAATTTTGCGGTGGAAGATGAAACCCCCTTCAGGTTTTGGATTTTAGATTTTATTATTTTTTATTCGAACCATCAAAATGGGGTACCAACCAAAGAGAGATAAACATGAAGATCAAAAAAGAGTTAGGAGTCTTACCCAAGCTTTTTTTATTCACTCCGCTTCGAGGGATTCAGGGCTTGATTTGTAATTGTTTTTTAGATCTCCTGCTATCGAGTTAGAGTTAGGGTTTGGAGTGAGAGTTGATATTATTCTCTTGAAGCATATCTAGACAACATCTTCTTGGCTTAAGAAACCCTAACTCACAAAGATCTTTGAAGATGAAACCCTAATCAAAATTTTGTTTCTGGTACTTTGGTGCTGCAGAATAGCGTGTGAGAGAATTCGGAGGTTTATTATAGTATATATTTTAACTTAGAGTATGTAGTACAATACAGCTGGGGTTGACCCGGGTATACAGTATTAAATACATGTAACTGGGGTTAACACTATTTGACTTAATCTGTTTTGATTTCAAGCCAAACGCGCCTTTAAGGCCGCACCGCAAGAGACCGCACCACAATTCACTGCAGGGGATTCGCGCCCGGTTTAAGGTGGGGGAGGCGAATTTTTCGGAAGATAGAATAGCTTTCCAACTCCGTGTATTGTGTATATTTATAGGCATCTGTACTTGACGGTGATCTTTTTCTGTTTCCCATTTTGTCCCTCAGGGCACTTTACTTTCCTAATTTTAGAATTTTCTTTTTTTTTTTTTAAATACTTTTTAGATATATACTGCCCCCATACCCATATTGAACAACTTTTGAATATTAAATGCAACTTTTTCTACAATAATATCGAAAACTAATCATAATATGTAATAAAAAAATATTATTACTCCCTCTATCCCACAAATAAAATATTCCTTTTGAAAATTTAACTTTTTAAGATTGTAATTTTTAATATTTTTTTATTGTTGTGGTAGTGAATTATTTTTTTAATATACTCTTCAATATTAAAAGAAAAATACATTGAATTTGAATTAAAAATATACTTGAACAGGCAACTTGAGTAAATTTAAAATATTAAAAGAATAATATATTGAATTTGAATTGGGACAAAATAGACAACAAAAAAAAAAAATCAAAAGGTAGGCACTTTTTGTGGGGCCGGAGTATTATTTTAAAGTTTACATAGATACATATATATTGATTTTTATATATATGTTTTTTTATATAAAAAAAAAATGTTGTATTTGAGTCTTATTAAGGATATTATTGTGAATCTTGCTTCGATACTCAGCATCTAAGTCACATAAGACGAGAGCAAATTTGAAAGCGGGAGCGTGAAAACGACAAAATTAAGTCATAATTTCAATTAAAAATATACTTGAAGAGGCAACCAGAGTAAATTTAAAATATTAAAAGAATAATATATTGAATTTGAATTGGGACAAAATAGACAATAACCAAAAAAAAAAAATCGAAAGGTGCATGCTTTTTGTGGGCCGGAGTATTATTTTAAAGTTTACATAGATACATATATATATATATCTATGTTTTTTAAATTAAAAAAAAAAAAAATGTTGTGTTTGAGTCTTATTAAGGATATTATTGTGAATCTTGCTTCAATATTCAGGATCTAAATTGTTGGGATTTATATGCCCTGGCATAGCAAATTCCTATTTGGATTAAAGTGACATAAGTTCATGACGTTTCTGAAATATTTATGTTTTTATACAATTGGTGAATTCAATGTATTATGTTTCGATTCATTATAGAATTGATAGTGTCCACTTGATTACAAGAGATATTTATATATGTATGTGATGGCGATCAATATATGAATATAAATAGTAATCATAAATGGTTCATAGTCGGTAATTATGGATGGACTCATAATTAATTAAGACTTGAACTGGATCCGCGTTAGGTTGAGATATATTGCGAGAACCGTCGTATGCAATTGTTCCCTATCACCGTCATGGTATTTGACTCTTAAGCATGAAAAAATTATAGACTCTTTTATTAATTAATAATTACTTTGATTTGTTCGGCGGATTCTTCGGGATCCTTACACCGACACTTTGGATAGTTATGTAATTAATAGTTAGAGAGTTATATTTTCAATATTTGCATCATTGCTACTTATATTTATTTTGTATTGATTATGGTTGATCATAAAGTAAATTCGAAGGCCTTCGTATGTTTTTAGACAAAATGATTTATTATATATTTATTTATTTAAATTATTATTTTTGTCAAACAAATATTTTTATTGTGATCGAGCCAGAAATAATCAATGGTACCAAAATAAATATATTAATTAAGTAGTCGGATTGATGGCTTTATTTATCCGATAACAAATTATGCATAGAGGGGTCAAAGTGCAATATTGACTTAGAGGTTATTTATTATTTAATTGGAGTTCAATTAATTTCTTTTAGTGGAGTAAAAATTAATTTATGAATTAATTGAATTAGGTCCATGGACCGGGCCAATTATTAATTCATTGTAGCCAATAAAATAATAGGCCCAATGGATTCTCACTCATAGCCCAACTTGATATTGGAATCATATTAGATTTGAGACATGTGAATTAGTGATTGAGAATGATTTGTTGTTTCCTTTTCTTTATTTTTATGTTGCCTATAAATATACATGGTCTATGTATAGTTAAGGGTGATTTTTGGAAGAAGGAAAAATGAAGCTATTTTCTCTCTCTAGAAAATTAGGGTTTATATTCTCATCTAATGGAGGCTCCCACAAGCCTAGTTTTCCAAGGTCATTCATGGAGGCTTATAAATGATTCCTAAAGGCAAAACAATTACCAAGAAGATGGATATCCAAAGAGAAGGCATCTTGCTAAGGAATCTACAATAAGTGAGAACATTCACTTTAGAGGAAAGTTTTAAAGGTTTACTCAGACCTTTGATGTAAGTATTCAATCTGTTAATTAAATGATATATCATGTTTTATTTTTGCATAAAACTTGTCTCTATGTAATAAATCAATATCTATGAATTAAAATCCCTCGAAAAGTTTTTAAAACTAGCACGTTTCCCAACAGTGGTATCAGAGCATGGTTTGATTCATCACTAGAGATCATGATTTTATGAAAATCATCATTCATGGATCCAAAGTTATATATGCATATGTATATATTTTTTTATATGATCATGATGTATGTATATTTGTGATTGGATGAATGTTGATGAATGTTTGGGCCATTGATGAAGCTTATAGGTTATTGGAATGTAATTTTATCTTTGGATGAATGTAATTAAGGCTTTGATTTAACCGTTTGAAAGTTCAATGATGTAATTTAATTTTTTCCATTGTATTTCAAATTGTAAATTTATTTAAAGCCATGTAATCTTCATTAAAGGATGCTGTGAAGCTTTAGGAAGGTCCAAAAGGGTTAAATTAGGTTTCAAGAATTTTCTAGAATTTTTCCGGAATTTTTCAGAATTTTTCTGGAATTTTTTGGGCTTAATTATAATTTTTTGGGATTTTTTATTAATTTTCTGAAATTTTCCGGCGATCAGAGTAATGCCGGCGGCGAGGGACATTGTCGGAAGGTAGACGGATGATCCGGTGTGGCGCAGTGCATATGCACGCGCACCAGCAGCCTTCAGATCAAATATCAGAAGCGAAAAAGATCACATGCAGCGCATTCCATGGTTGTGCGACTTCGAAAAAGATCCCATGCAGCGCTCTTACGCTCCGCGCGTCTCATTATTTCTGACTTAATTTTGCCGTTTTCACGCTCCCGCTTTCGAATTCGCTCTCGCTCCCGTTTCAGAAATAATGAGACGCGCGGAGCGTAAGAGAGAGATCGCACTTAAAACGTGAGAGCGATACCTGTTAAGAATGATTGTGCGACTTAGCTTAAGATCAATTGTGTTTGAGTCTTATTAAAGATATCATCTATGTATGTATACAATACATATATATATATATATATATATATATATATATATTATACATATATATTTATATATTCATTTGTGTGTTTTTGTTTGTGAATTAGTGAGAAAGTTGAGAAGTGTTTGTACCGTGATTGAACGATAACAAATCGGCGATTAAGTTTGTAAAAGACAATGGCAGAGGCAGTCCTTCAACTAATCTCTCTCTAGAAATTTGAAGAGAGAGAAGAGCGCACACAAAGGCTCCAAGATAGACGAGGCCTATAGCGGTTTAAAAATGAAATCAATAAAAACTAAACCGGACCGGATCGAATCGGGCGGTCTGGGCCGGTTTCATAGTAGTTCGGTCCGGTCACGATTTTAAAATAATGGAATCGTAAATTTTTTGTTTGGTCCCAGATTAGGGTCCTTCAGGACTAGACCGGCCTAGACCGAACCGTTATAATATGTATACAACAAATATTATATATATATATATATATACACACACACCTATATACTACTCTTAACTTGGGAGGGGATTTAGGCACAACGATCAAACAGGAGCCAACATTCATCATTATCTGATTTTTTATTTTCTTTTATTTTTTTTTACTCCTCCCAATGTTTTTATTTTTGGGTGCATATCAAAATTCCTCCACTATCTCATTGTTTTTCTTTGCTCACGCCGCCTCATTCACTTCTTAATTTCTCATTGCCGCGGGATCCAGTTGTTGATAAATTTCTCTCAAGCAATCTTCAAAGTTTGGTCATCATCGTCGATCTTTTATTGCTGCCATCGGTGACATCCTCTTTCTCACACTTTCGCCCCTTCTCTCTCACTTCCAGTTCACAGATGTCTAAGTCTCACAGCGTGTTTGTCCCTCAAGCACAACCAACAACCATAACGAATCAAGTTTCTTAGTTTTCAACCACGGATTATTCATCCTTTTCAGTTTCAGTAAGATTCAACCTTATTTTATTTCTAGGGTTTAGCTTTTGGATCTATTTCACCCACTTTCCCCTCACTTTTTCTCTCTCTATTTTAATCTTGGATTCGGGAATGTGAATGTTTTTATTAATATTTTTTTGTTGTATATACAATTCGGGGGGGAAAGGGGGGGGGGAATAAAATTCAACTAGGACCGTGGAACCGAACTGAACCAAACCGTTTTTTCATGGTTTGGGCTAATTTGGTTTCAGATTTTCTGGAACCGTAGGGAGAGATTTGGTTCAAAAAATCCTCATAACCAGACCATGTGCACCCCTAAAAAGTAGATTGGTTTTTATATAAAGCTCATAAGACATTTTAAGATGGATTTTTTTTGGGCTATTCGTAATATCGGTGTCTCGCAAGTAGCGATTACTTTCCCTCTTTTCAAATTGTTTAAATTCTAGGAAGCAAACACTTTTATAAGGTGTCATGTGTCGAACACTGATACTTCGTGAACACTTCTAAGTACGTGTCCAACACACTATGACCGTGTCCATTATTTAAAAATATATATATATATTTTTTATTTCGAATACTTGGCCGTCACATCTTCGATACTTGGTCGACACATTTCGCACACTTGATCAACACATTTCGTACACTTGATCAACACATCCTACTCTATTGTATGTAAAATAGATACACCATAATCTTAAAAACAAAATTTAAATGTTCAACCTTTAAAAAAAAAAAAAAAACAACAACAATAACAACAACAACATAACTA